TAAAGAGGCAGGCTCACAAATACGCTTATAAAAAATGTCTATACTCCAGCTTTTAGTTTATGTATTCATCTTGGAACGAACAAATGTAAGATGGGCGTTTGAGATAGGAAATGGACAGACGGTAGGTCCGGGAAAGACAGATGTACGAATGAACGTAATGGGGGGGGGGGGAACCACCGGTAGACCAGGGTATGAACGCAAGACCCAGGAAGAGAGCAATACGGGATATTTACAGAAAAATTATTTTAAAGAATTGCGTGGAAGGGGGGTAAAAAACGGCAGTTTCCCTGCCAAAACGAGAGGCTTGACAGGTGTGCCTTGCCCAGCTTTTGTGTTTATGTTAGCAACGGGATTTTACACCTTCGTTCGTCACACTCAGATGATTTCTGCCAGGTTCGTCCGTGAAGCTACATTTACACAGTAAGCATTAGCTACTCAGCTGCCCGCCATGTTCAGTCTACCTGCCCGATTTTGTAAATTATGATAATTTAATGCAAAGTTGGCATTTTAATGGACTTTCAATGCAACTTTTAGAGCAACTTTGCATTAAAAGTGTCATTATTTCCTGAATGACATTTCATGACAACTGTCATAAACATTCATAAAGACTTCTTTATGTTCATGATAGGTGTTATATCATGTTTATGACAGTGTCATGTCAGTCTTATGCACACCCCTTCAAAGTGTTACCCAAAAGTCTATATGCAGATGATATACTGTTATTTTTACATGATGCACATAATTCTCTCCAAGAAACTTTTAATATAATTAACTTATCTTTTCCAAAATTTTACACTACACCGTAAACTGGGGAAAATCCATTATCCTTCCACTCTCTGTTAGAGCATGGGACTCTGCATTTCAAAATACTGCATGACCTCTCACTATGGGAATATCAAATATCTAGGAATAAATACTTTCCTCAGGCTGTCAGAATTATTTGTTCATACCCCAAGGTGTCCCTCAGAAAACTAGCTAAGCCTGGTGGCTGGGCACTAGGGCAGTCATTCATCCAGTGGCCTGTCATTTTTTTGAGTTAAAAAATGTTTAAGGTTTACAGAAAATGTGAATACATCACTTGATAATTATGTTTTATTAATAGATTGGAAGATGAATATCTGAACACCAGCTATAAAATCTTAAAAATGCAAACATTTAAAAAGACTTAGAAACATAAGCAACGCTTAGCCTGGTAGGGGCACAGGTAAAGCCTGGTGGCCCGCCAGGCCTATGATTCACTGGGGGAAACCTCACTACCTAAAAAGATTGAAGATGACCTTAAATACTGGACAAACCTTCCATTTTCACCATCAATTAATCCACAATTAAAATGAAGATACTTCCACAACTTAATTATCTATTCTCAGTCCTCTCAATTACCCCTACACAAAACTGGTTTAAATCAACTGACACATGTATCTCTCGGTTCTATTGGAAAAATAAAAAACCCAAAATATCACTAACAACTTTGCAAAAAAAATAAAAAATCTTGGAGGATTAGAGGCAGCCAACTTTCAATTTTATTTTCTAGCAAATCAATTGCAATATCTAGTAAAATTGATTTAATTTGACAGTCAAAATAACTCATGGTTAAACATAAAGCAAAACCAATACAACACCTCAATACCAGAATTGCCATTTTCTATGCAAACAAAAATAATTAAGTACTTTCAAATGTCCACAATAAAGTCTACTCTAACAGCCTGATGAAAAGTTACGAGAATCCAAGCACCAGGCAAAATTCCAGGTACAAGCTGTGGAAAGAGGCCCCAAAAACAATCCAGAAACTCACAGAAGGGTGTAAGATGGCTGGACAGCAATATGCAAGATGCCACAGAATCTTGTGGCATCTTGATTCTGTACGTTTGTATTTCCACGCAGAATGATCTGCATGGAAAACAAACTGGAGACCATTGGATTAAAGTGGGAATTCCCTTCCAAGGTGGTGGAAAATGGCCGAGCTAAGATCCTGTGGAACTTCCAGATGCAAATTAATGAAATGGTAATGGCCATTGGACAATCAGGCATTGTGATTACTGAAAAGCAGAAGACAACAGCTGATGTGATCCATGTGGCCATCACAAGCAACACAAATATTAGGAAAATGAGAGAGGAGGGAAATAACAAGGCCTCAGTCCTAAAGAAAGCCTGGCATCTGAAAGCATGATCACTGGAGAACTTGGGGCAGTGACCCCCACAAAATAGAAAAAAATGTTCTAAAATATGCCTGAAGAAACAGAGATCTCAGTCTAGAAGAGTGTAGTCCTAGAAACACAAAACATACTACAAAGAGCCCTGAAGCTTCCAGGACTCTAGCAGAAGACCAAGCTGAAGATGAACAGCTACCCACCCAACATGGGGGAACCAGGAATGGGCGAGAGAAGATCTATGTATGATGCGTTCAATACTTATCATACTTGGCAGGTCAACTGCTGTATGATTATCTACAATGGCCAAACTCATACAAAACTGTCCTTTTAATAAACTGAAGCTAAATTATCTTTCTTCTCTTTCTGTTTTGCTTGCCCCTCAGGGACCCAACATTTAGTGAAACAATTTCTTTCTGGAACATCCAAATGATAAGGTCAGTTAAACAGTCCATCACTATGCACAAAGCTCATTTTAACTGCAGTTAAAAGACTCATTAATACAGCATCTAGATCAATTACTCCACATTCCTGTATGTGTCAGCTAAGACATATAAACTGACTAAAATGCAACGACATAAAGATAACATTTGAGAATACACAATAATTGAACACACAAGTCAGAGTTAGAGAAAAACCAAACCAAGTTTTAAGCAAAAGAAATGTCCATAGTCTCTTACCTCTTACATCCTCATCCTCAATGGTAGTGTTGGCACTCTCGCTGGACTCCTGTAAAAAGCACAAATATGAACATATGTTCTTCGTATATACAGTAAATAGTAGCCATCACAAAGAAACGGTAAGGACAGGCACCAGGCTTAGACAGATGTCAGATTGGTCATCTTAAAGTAATCTACTGGAGCACTAAACAAAGAGGGTGTAAAGAAATGGTATTGTATGATGATGGTTTAGCTTCAAGTGATGAAAGGATAGGTCTGATAGAGTTTTGTGGTATCCAAATCTTACTAATTGCATTGAGAAATATTGTTTAAATTTGACACACAATAAATGATAGGACAGTTTAAATTTAACCTACACTTGCCATTTCTCATTTTTGTCGAGTTTAGTTTTCTCTTCCAAACAAGTCTGCTTTAGGTTGAGTTTGTGTGATGTTTCCAGATCATGGTGAAGCTTGGGCTGTCCAAATGCAATCCAAAATATCAGCGTTGACGAAGCTGAACTTCTGACACCCCTTTATGGTGTGCTACCAATGTGCCGTGCTGCACAGACCACTCCCCAACCACAGAATAAATTATTGTCTATTTATGTGTGTGACTTTCATAAATGATTTTTTACCCTTCACAGCAACATTCACAGTGAAACCGTATTGACCGTTTCAGCTTCCTCTCTATCCGTTTCATGTGATCTGCTCTGCACTGTACAAACAGCTGATGAAGTAGCAGAAAAAGTTGCACAGAAAGCAGTTAAACACTACTTTTTAGATGTTATCACTCTTAAAGAACTGCTATACAGAGCCTCCTAGAGCAGTGTTTTTCCAACCTTTTTTTAGCCAAGGTACATTGTTTTAATTGAAAAAATCACAAGGCACACCAACAACCAAAAATGTAAACAAAGATACTCTGTAGCCGCCTATATTACATATATAGTCATTCTTATCAAAGTGTCTTGAACAGGAATCAAATAAACACAAAACATTATTTTTTATCATATTTTACATTTCTTATTTCAAATTGCACTTAACATGTCCACTTCAAAAATACACCTGAACACCTGAACAGGGCCACAACACTGGTGTGTGATGCATGAATGTAGTAACATTCATGCATTACTAATTCTCTTGTTTTAATGTAAAATGCTCTGTACCTACTGCCATCTAGTGGTAAGAAAATCACATGATTACGCCGCTAGTCACTACTACAGCAAAGACACTCAAAGATGGCATTATTTGCAGTTGATTAATTCGTTTTCAAAAAATCTTTTAAGACCAATTACCGTACTGTACGGACTATGAGCGCACCATACTATAAACCGTACCTTCAAATTTTTTTGAACCGCCCTCCCCCCTCCTGGAAACATACATATATCAGCCGCACCGGGCTACAGGCCGCTGGTCATAGACATTAACGTATATGATGTCTATGCCGCTGGTATCTCTGCCGCTCTCGGTTTCCCATAAGGACCCAGCAGAGGGCAGCAGAGGGCTGCGTCCTAATAGCTGCTGGATATATTAAGGACGCAGTTCTCCGTCTCCAAATCCGGTTTTGTTCACGCCGAGTTTACGTGCAGCGGCTTTATGTCCCTCCTGTGCCAGATCGATACTCCTCATCTTAGAAGCTGCATCATCTGAGTTTGAAAACATTTCTCCGTCCTGCCTGCTGCTAGCATGTGCTTGTTCTAAATGACAAATAGCGCATTCTTCTTTGATTTCCAATTTTGACTTCCAATGATTCACTTCCTGCTAAAGTGGGCACTAAAGAGCCCCCTGGTGGTTGAAGAAAAATCCACAGAAAAGCCATATGTTCAAAGTGTAGGAAAAAAGTAGCAGCTTATAGTCCGGAAAATACGGGAGGTGAAATTGGATAATTTCCACGGCAGACCTGACGATCACTCACAGTACACTAGTGTGCCGCGGCACAGTGGTTGAAAAACACTGAACTAGGGGACATGGAGGATTTTCTTTTTCTTTTGTGAGGGAACACAATACTTTTGCGTTACCTCACAACAGGTTTTGCATTCCCTTGCAATAATGTACTGATCAGTTTACGCGGCATAATTGAATACTGTAAAGTCTTTCTTACGGTGCCCATCATATTTTCTGCTTTACAAGGCTTTTGTAAGGTTTCTCCATGTTTGTTAATATCTCATTGTGAAATATCTGAAGCTTTATATTGTTTTCTTTAGGATAAAAATGCACCACAATCCTATGATATACACAGAAACTTTCTGTAAGTAGGAAAAAAAAATTAAAAATACACCCAAACCATTTGGACCATTTCTGAGTTATTATCAGGTAATGAGTTATTATCAGGTAATAACTTTGATTGTGTCTCGTATTGGTCTGGATGGTTTAAGGGCTGTTTTAATGTGCAGTTCCATCTCAACCGTACACAAACAGGTACAAACAGGCAGTGAATAAATCGATTTTCAATTGTTTTTTGTTGTTTTTTTTGCACCAAAGAGTTAAGAATAAACGTGTTTTCACTGAGGTCTTAAAACATTTTAATTGGCATTTGTGACTGTATACAAAGTAGACAAGCAAATATTGCAGTAAGCATATTGTGACGGAATGCAAAAATTCCTATTTATTAATGAGTCATATCAAACTATAGTCCATTTGCTAATGTTAGCCTAGCCTATCAATCCCATATAAACATGGGACTGATGTTCATGACTATGTGAAGCAATGAACTGGAACTGCCTTTTCCTCAATGACTGACCAATATCATAAAACAAATCCTGATCTGGACATCATAAGAATACTATACAGCACTTTGGTACAGTTAATAGTCGTTTTTAAAGTGCTTTGTGAATAGATTGACAATGACATCTATAGTTTAGTTTCATAACTTTATTTTTCATGCAAGATATTAACATGTAAATAGAGCAATTTGAATGAAACAGTAAGTAATGGGTGTTTCAACCAGTCTTCTTAAAACAAGGTCTACTGAAGAGTTCGTATTAGTTGAATGTTTGACTAAATATAATAAAGTTACTTCAAAAGCATGAAAAGAAAATTGTATCACCTGTTCAGGCATGCACATTAGGTGGTTTTAATGAAGTAAAAAATAAAAGATGATTTTATTAATCTAGTGATAGATGTGATATGTGTCGAGCTTTTATTTGGTATAATCACTTAACACTGATACTATGCACAACATTTAATGTGTACTTCACTATGACCTAGCACACCATCAGATAACAGCATAGCACAAAGCTTGAAAACAAGCATGCATGTGTTCCCACAATGTCAGTTTATGACTTTATGAATTATACGTGATGACATTGATCCAAATGTCTGCACAAGCTCACGATCAACACATGGTAGATGTGCTTGTGCTGACCTGAAAGGGATTTGAACAGGAAGTTTGGTACTCATGCCGTTGCATGGTTCCCAGGTTATTCCAAGCATGCATAATCCTTTAGTCTCAACACTGTAATGTCATAATGATAGAGCTTTATATCGTTTAAACACACTGAAATGGGAAGCAAGAATCCTTCTGTGATAAAGACAATAAAATGAATGAATTATTTTTGGAAATATAATCCATTTTATAATTGGGGAAAAAAAACATGCAACAGTTTTGCGTGCAGACATTATTTTCTCACATAATGGTAAGTTTTCACAACCAACAGAACACAAAAATGTTCAGAAGCAACAGTAAAGCTTGGCTCTAAGCAGCAGGGCAGTAGTAAACTACAGCTTCAGATCAGCTGGATACCTTGTTTCCATCAGCAGGATTGTGGATAACAGTGGTTTGAGGCTCCTATTTTGAAAGGATCCACAGCAGGACAAAAGCAGCAGGTTGGTGCAAAGTGACAGTGTTAGGAGGCAATATTAATATACAGATGTGATGGTAGGCAAAGAGATATATATGAAAAGGAAAATAATGCAAAGAAAAAACTGATTTACAACAGCAGCAGAACTGATAGATGGAACCATGTGAGAGTAGAAACAGTTTCACCTCACGTGTAATTAGCTTGTACTACTAAAGATGATTTGAAACGAGGAAATCATAGTAGAATAACACACATCACATGAGGCATTCAACAGCAAACTAACAGTCCACCACATACAACTTCACAAACATGTCACTACAAACTTAGAAAGGTCATACAGATAATAAAAGGAGAACCCGACGCCAGTCCAGTCCATGGTACTGCTGAACTACTCCCTGTTCACTGCGGCTGCATTTTTATACCACACCTGAGACAAAATAACCTCTTGCATAGCTTTCATTATGTGCTTTGTTGAACGTTGTTGGCCTAGTTTAAAACATAACCAGCTGACCACTTTTAGGTGCATCGGAGTACCATGCATTCAGGCTCACTATGCCTGGAGAGTTTGTCAGCCAGATCAGCATCTAAACTTTCTGTTCCAAGATGTTCAGACCCATGATGACACCACATACTGTATCTGAGTGAAACATACAGATTTTTTTCAGCAGGTTACTGCAGAGAGTATTCTTAGATGTCTCAACTGGACCTCATTGTTTCTCAAGGTAAGGTGCTGACAAGTAAAGGATGCTCACAAGCCAACTCTGAGTGGACTTAGGGGTAGAAAAGTAACAGATTCAGACTAAGCCACCATATTGTTCTATGCTATAGTTCTAAGCTAATTATTGTAGATGGATGCATCCATCATCAACAGCAACCTGGACTGCAGGTGTTCTGAATGTGTTTACAGTCTCTGGCTGACAGAAGACCTTTTTCAAGATTCCAACAAATTACAAGCAAGCCTCCTATCTTCAAGCACAACAATGACCATCCATGATCCTGTTGCCAGATCAATCTGAAAGAAAGCATCTTTCCATGGGAGGCTTTTAGTACTAGTCCACCACTGCAGACTGGGACCATCCAACAGGAGCTTCACCTCTACAAATGTCAGACTCTGTGTCGGACATTTTTGTGTCATACACTTTATCATTGGTCGAAACCAATGTGTTTCGACCTTTATAGCAGTGTAAAGGTCGAGGGACCTTTATACCAACTGGATTTGCAAAATCCAGCTGGTATTTTGTAAAATACCAGCTGGATATTTGCAAAAGAACACTTGAGGACTGTTCTTTGGCCACCCATTTATGAATAGTCAAAGGGAGCTTAGACAAGGATTCATCTTTGAAGCTTTAAGGTTGACATGTTGGTCAAAAATGCCCAAATTCATGGCTTGACTTTTACTTTCTTTTTTTCTTTCTTTCTTTTTTGACACCTAAAGATAGTCAAGATTTTTCACTTCAGATATTGGTGGTCAGAGCAATTTGACTGGCTGTTGTAAGACTGGCATGGGAACTCAGTAAAGGTTAGAATCACTCATTATTTGCAAGGCAGAACAATGTGCATATACTACATTTAGACAAGTGGTCTCCAATGCTAGATCTACTGACCTGCAAGTTTTAGTTGTATCCCTGCTTCAACACCTCAGTCAAATTATTGAATTACCTCTTGAACATGCCATCAAGTTTGGCAAAGGCCTGGTTACGGCTCATTCACCTGATTTGGCTATGATGAAGCAGGGATGCATCTAAAACCTGCGGGACAAAATATGTTGAAGACAAGGGTTAAAGACCCCTGATTTAGACAAAAATCAAATGACCACTAGGGCTGCATAATATATTGCAAATGTATTATTACTGTGACATCACTGAATGGAATATACCTGTTATTAGCAAGAGCCTAGACTGCTTTAAGTGTCAGTTAACTATTGAAGTAGCATACATTCAAAATGGCTTTTTATTTGGTGACAAATAAAAAAGCTTTAGAAGACATAAACCAAAATTTTCTTCACTTAAATCCAAATAAAACTGAAGTTATATTAATTTTTACAAAAGAGCCTTATTAGTAAACCTGATAAAATTCTTGGTCGCCTTGCTCCTTTTTATCAGTCTTCTGTTTAGGAATCTTGGTGTCATTTTTGACAGTTGTAATTTGGAGAAGCAGGTGAGCTCTGTCGTGAAATCAATCTTTTTTTTGTCTGTGCCTTCTAGCAAAGGTTAAATCAATGTTCTGTATCAAAGACTTTGAGAAATGTATGCATGCCTACATTACTGCATGTTGAGACTCCTACAACTCATTAAATCTTCTTTACAGCATCTCTACATTTTTCAAAATGCTGCAGTTAAAAACAAGAGCTTGTAACCGCATTACTGGTTTCTATGCATTGGCTGCCAGTTTCTTATTGGATTGATTTTTAAAGCTCTAAATGGTTTAGCTTCAGCTTATCTCCAAGACCTTCTTCACGATCTTTGGCATTTCCATAAGGCCTGACTTTGTAATTTACTTGTCCTGTGTTTTAATTTGTTTTTATGTGTAGTTTAATCAATACTGTACAACATTTTGGTGTAGTTAATATCTGTTTTTCAAGTGTTTTATAAATAAATTGACATTGAATTTAATTATTTCCAGCAGGTGGATAGTCTACTTACAACCTGGGTTATGAGTTTAGTATGAACACAAAAGCATTAAGTTTTGTAAATTATCACAAGTCATTTATTTATTGCAAGTCATATCAGATTCCCCAAACCCTAAAAACCCTAACCCAGCATCAACAACAATGGAGCCAATGTACAGCAATGTAACAAAGTACGGCGGAGTATATGGGTGGTCCATGTCGCACATAATGAAACTGCTAAAATGAAGAGATGAGCATGAATCAAAAGAAATCAGAACACAGAGGACTGGTGTTATGGTGGACTGTAACAGTCAACAGCCATGCAGCAACCGAGGCAGGCAGGCAGTGTACCAGAGCAGGAGAGGGGACAGGCTCTTTGGTGCTGGTCACCACATTAGCCTTGTTGTTGATCTGGAGGACAGTGGACAGAAAGACAGGCAGGACAGGGCAGAAGTGACAAGGCTTAGTGTCCAAACATTCACTGCTGTGGGTGGGTGGAAGGAAGGAAGGAAGGAAGCAAGAGTGGGATATTGGGTTTGGACTGGAAACTGACAGATCAGGCAACCCTCGTGAACTGTCTTCACTTTCTTCAAAATAAGAGCATAGGTGTCTAACTACTTAAAGAATTCTTAGCAGTCAATAGCCAAAAAAAACTTCAACACAAATGTTTAACTTTATTCAACTGAAAAGCTTCAAAACAGCAAATAAAATTAGTGCTTTAGAATTTATCTGGGAAGATTCATTTAGGAGAAGCCTAGTGTGCTCAATGTCATCACAGTGATCAAAAGCGGTAAACAAGAAATGAGCTCCACTATAAGGATCAGTTTAAAGCAGACCATCTACAACAAGATTTTTTTAAATTGAGCTCATTGCACAAGGAAAAATAAGGTTCCAGTTCTGATTGGACAAAGACAAGCTCTGCTGGATCATCACAATCCCAAATGGATGAAATCAAGTCTGGTTTAGAAGCAGCCGTGTGAGAAAAACACACTATCTCAGCATGAGTGGAGGGTTTTCCTTTCCTGTCAGGACAGCAGAGAGAACGGTGACAGAAATGAAGACGTCATTCATCAGTTCTTCATTCCCAGATGTCTTCCCTCAGTGCTCACTGTAGATGTGTTTCCTTTGCTGACACACAGTGACCATGTGGAGGCAAATCTTCAGTGGGAAAAGGTTTCACGGCCACTCAGACAGATTTAACCAAGGAAACCCAAACGTCCATTTCATTAACACCATCATAAAAATATCAGAGCCAAACAGCAGTGAATGAGTGCTAAGGGTTAAGTGTGAGATGGAGACGGAGGGCACTTACTTTGACGCCATCTGTTTTTTTGTTCAGCAGGCTCTTGGCTGCTGTGAAGACAAAAATAACAATATGAGAAAATCAGTGACCAGCTGGAATTAATAGTCACACACTAGCATCAACATACACACAAACATTCATGCAAAGTCTGTTCAATGTTGGCCAATTACGGTCTGCATCAGGGTGGGCACCCTGCTACATTTGGAAAAAGAAGGGAAGAAATGCAGATTGAGTTCAGGATTTTCCCCAGTATAAGTCTGGCGAGCCGCTAAGCTTTGTTTGTTTTATAAAAACATAAAAATAGTTTAAAATTTAAAATTTTTTATACACCAGTAACCCTGAACTGCAGGGTCTTTGCTGCATTGAGCATTTCACCAGCAGAATCAGAACAGAATCATTCCCGAAAAGGATTTATATAGCTGATACATTGAACAAGGCATGAGGCTGGCAGCGCAAATATCACACCGCTGGCGCCTCTGTGCACTGGCCGCCTAGCACGCTAATGCAGCTGAATCTCTCAAAGTTTACCCCAGCGCAGTTTGCACCTAACTTCTCACTCAAACTGGAAAGGTGTTCTTGGAGAAAAACTTCACCTGTATCACTATTCATATTTAACCCCCTGTGAAGAATCATTTTTCAAGCTAGGAGTCAAGTTTAAATGTTACAGCGTTTGCTCTTCTTGCGCAGCACAATGTGAACTGCAGGTATACCCTGTAGTTGCGTTTTAGGGGTGTGCATTGAGCATGCTGTGAGAATGATATACATTTGTGAACAAACAATTATGTAGGGGTGTGTGTTTACATCTCAACACACTGGCCCATCGTCTGGCTCTGGGTCTGCGCTCATAAAGTTTATGTATGTGTTCCTCAGAGGAACGTGTCAGTGTGGCGTAGTCACGCAGCACGCTGTTTTTAATGTTGACCTTTTTTTATGGCATCACAATTCCTCAAACTGCAGCATGTCAAATGTTTTTTCTGCTTCCTGTTAGGCAGATTCTAGCACATGTGCAAAAAAATTTATATTTATTTTAATAGTATGTTTTTTGTCTGTTGTTCTTAAGAATATATAGTTGCATGCTTAAGCATTGTCAACAACATCTTCCAGTAATAGGTTTACCTTTCCTGTTAATGTAACATTTTTTAATACAAAAACATGGTGGCCCACCGGTGGGGCATCCTGGCTCCCCAAACAACGGACTTAGCAAGTTTTCTGGGGGAAACCCTGGAGTTCAAACCAAACTTACAGAATCATCAGTCTGGAACATGTAAGGATTCATCCAATGAGTCTGTTAGAATCTGCTGTATTCAGCTCTTCAATTTGTATCCCAGCTTCCAGTAATCTACCTATATCTTGTCTCAATCATACCAGGAACAGAACGTGCATTTATTAAGGGGCTGGAATCATCAAAGCCAATTTCTAGTTTATGTTGCCAATCAATGACAGACGGAGACATGGAGCAGGTGATTAGAAGTCGCAGTAAGGGCAGAGTGGGGGCAAAGGTCATCTGTGTATCCTTTACAAAAACAGGAGGTTACCATAGACTTGTCCATTTTAAGAATTGAATATAGACAATTCTTGTCGCTGCAGAGTGGCAACAGATTTTCTCAAGCCATGGAAGAAGAGCACTTTTCATTTGAAATTACTAACAAGTGTCAGATCATAGTGTAAAAATGTGTTGGATAACATAGTTGGTTCAACCCCAATCAGAAGTATTAGTTGTACTAAAAAAGTGTTACACCAACAGTGTCTTAATAGAAGTTAATGCTAAAGTATCAACTTTAATTTAAATTATATCTGGTCTTGAAGGACTATAACCCTCCAGCTCCAATTTCATTTTGACATTACAATTTATATGTTCTATAATGCCCTTAGAAATACTGTGTTCCTGTTTTAGTCTTGTTCTCCATTGTCTGCATTTTTATTTTGCTCATTTATGTTTATTTTTTGAAATAAAGTTATTAGGGAAAATAAGAGAGACTTCATCCACTTGAAAATAAGAACATGAACATAAATGTCCATCTATTTAACGGTCGATAACCAAAACAAAACTTCATCACAGCTTTCATTTCAATCTTCATTTAACTGAAAGTTTACAAAACAGCCAAGTAAATTACCGCTTAAGAATTTATCCAGAGAAATTTATTTAGGGGGAGCAAAGTGAGCTATGCGCTTTTAAGTTAACAAAAACGCTAAAGCACTAACTGATAGGTTAACTCAATATTTCTCCACTCTGGTCCTCACCGACCCCCTGTCCTGCATGTTTTAGGTATTTCCCTTCTGCCACACCTGGATTGAATCTCTGGGTGATTAACAGGCTTCTGCAGGACTTGATGGTCATGGAATCATTTGAATCAGCTGTTCTGGAACAGAGGCACATCTAAAACATGGAGAGTAGGGGGGCAGTGAGGACCAGGGTTGAGAAACACTGGGTTAACTCTTATTAGCGCATTAGCATTAGCATACTACTGGTACTGCCATAGAACAATGAAAGAGTAAAACAACTGTAGATCAGGATTAGTTTAAAACAGAACATTACAGCAGAACAACTGACTGTTTTTGGTGCACTGTGGTTGGAATGGACCACAATATTTTTGTTACACCCACAGCAACAAAAACTATCATGAAAAAGATGGCACCAAATTCATGAGTAAAATTATAAGAACAGGAACAGAGAAAAAAACAGTTTTTAATTTACAGAATAGAGAGATTAAAACTGCTGCAGTGATAAATCACTATTTTTTTTATTCTTTTTCCCTGAATAAGTGGAATATTTCCACAGTAGGAACTTTTCCCTGGAACCAGGGAAATTTTTAGGGCAATTATTATTCCCACTTCATTTCCCCTGTATTTACCAGAGTAGAAATTTACCCCAGAAAAATATCAAAGTAATGAGGCATTAAGAGTCAATTTCCTTCTTCCGCTAATAGTCTGACTTTTTTTCTAGATGGAAGTTTTACTGTTGCCGTCAGTGAGCATGGTTGCAAAACTTTGGAAATGTTGCAGATTTGGGAATGTTGCAAATGTTAAAGTTTGTAGAGGTCCTCAAAGGTCAGCTGCATCACTTCAACAAATGATTTAAATCAACAATATTTTTGATGTTAACTGGAAGTTTTGTTAGAGAAAAGTCTAACTTATATATATATATATATATATATATATATATATATATATATATATATATAATATATTGTATATACTTATATATGTGTAAATATATTGTAATTTATATGTATGTTCCAAATATTACTACACTCATTTCTATCCAATTAATTAAAACATAGAAATGTAGATTTTAGTGGTATTTTTTCCTTTCTTTTCCCTCTTGATATGGTGAACAACAGAATTACTGTGCCACATGAAAGCCCTGTGGAGTTACTCCAACAGACATGCCTCAGAGCCACAGCAGTGCTAGTTGCAATAAAGACTCTTACCTTCCAGAGAAATGTTACCAGAAAAGACAAGAAGGGAAGAAAAGCAAAAGTCATTGCTAAGAAGATTGAACACAGTTATTTTGGCTACAGATCAAAAATATTTTATTCAAATTCATCTAGTTTAGACATAAGAAACATATTTTAATATACATCTAAAATATTTTTTTTTCTTAAGTTACATGCTGTAGCTTTGAGCAGACGTTCTGTATGAGAGTTCACTGCCAGGTGGAGGTTGAGCAGCGCTCCATATATGAAATATTACTACCGGTAGCGTGTAGTGGTGGTTCAACAGCGGGAGAAGAACCAGAGTCTTCCACCTCCAGCTCGAAGACTAGAATTATTTTTCAGGTTATTTGTTTAGCTTTCTGACCGTCATGCTAGTCCAGGTGAGTGTTGGTGGCTGTGCGCTGCTCTACCTGCTGTCTGGCCGCTCTGGATGTCCTTTCTTTTCTACAGTGAGCCTTGATGTAGCCAAACTCTGTAAAGTGTTTGTTTTTCAAATTCCATACTAGATTCGTTGTGTTGATGCATTGTGACGTGCTTTCACCCCCGAGATAATTTTCTGCCCCAACATGCAAACGTCCCCACTCACTCTCAGACCGTTAAAGTATAGTTAGTAGGTAAGTAGGGATCTGTAAATTAGATTGTAATGATTTGCTCAGAGTTTGTAGCAATTGAATGGAGGACAGATGGGGCTCAATAGACCTAAAAGACCATCTCCTTTGCATTTCAGGGGAATCAATATTACAGCTAGGGCAGAGAAGAAGTGTCATTTTACACTTTACTCTGAACTCTTTCAGTCCTACCTGAGAAGTTGCGAGTAGCAAGCATAGTCGTCAGGATGGCACCCTTCAGAAAATATTGGGTGAGAAAAAACTTAGTTGGACAAGATCTGGAAAATATCTAAACATCTATTTCAGGAAAAAAAACACTTCTAATTTCAAGCAGCAAAGTGAACAGTGCTTGTTCAGAAGTTCAGAGCAGACTTTTACCTTCAGTTTCCTTCTGGCATTGAATTTCTTTAGGCACTCCACTGTTTCCTGTCTGTGCACCATGGAGGCCACGGTGGAGCGTTGCTATGAATAGAGAGACAGCACGGCATCAAAAATGGCTCTTGGGGAAATCAAATCAGCTCCACTTCAGTCATGGAAGTTGAGGACTAAGGAAGTGGTATATGTGTATGATACTTACACAGATCCAGGGGTGTTTGAGAGCATCTGCAGCAGTTACTCTCTTAGCTGGATTGATGGTTAGCATCTTATTGATCAGGTCTTTGGCCTCAGCGGTCACTGTGTCCCACTCTGGAGAGGGGAACTGTTAGGGAGAAGACATAAAGGTCAGCTATGCACACTTAATCCCTGTCTTCAGTTAATTTCTTAGGTTGCACACTTGAAAAACTAATCAGAAAAAATTAACGTTATGGAGCCCCTAAGCCAGAGGTCTCAAAGGACTCAAGGACTGGAGTAAGGTAAGGTGAGGTAAGGTAATTTTATCTACATAGCACGTTTTCAGCAACAAGGCAATTCAAAGTGCTTTACATGAATTAAAAGGAAATACAAACTAGATGTCTCTGCTCCAATGTTCGCTCAATAGCAGAGCTATGTAGAGCTGGACTGCAAGCTAGTGAAGCACTGTAGCCATTTCATTCAAGTGTGAAGGACAAGGGACGCATCTAAAAGTTTCACAGCTCTGGTCTTCAAGGACTGCAGCTTGAGACCATTGCCCAAGGTGTGTTAGCTTCAAAATTTTATGCGCTTATTTCGAATGAGAACACACAAGTCGGCTGATTCCTCTCTGGACTTTTACCATGAACATTCAAGGCAGGTGGTACAGGTCAAGAGTTCACTTTTTGGTTTGCTTGCAACAACTTGTTATGTAACATGCACAGCAGCAGATTCCTGTTGCCTCAACATACTCGGGTGTCCTTCACTCCCTCAAAGGCCCACGTGTTCTCAATGTGGAGTCAAAGTGGAGATCCACTGGATATGTTTGCAAGTAGGTTTGTGCCTTTTTCCAAAAATCACAGGCGGACTCTTACAGGGAACTGCTTGGCAGGAAGCAGTCTTCACATCAAGCTGATTTGTCTGAGACAACAAGCTGGTAAGGTTGAGTCAGCGCACAGTTGCAGGAATACTTGGCGTGACTGCCACTCTCACTGCAGCTCTGGCAGTTGTGCAGTGGCTGCCCTGATGGAGAAAAAAATCGCGCTAGGCACCCAACTGGCTCATCAAACTTGCTGGTATCCATTGTGATTGTGGGAAATTAAAAAATTTAGTCATGAGAAATTTTGGCAGTCGGTAGGCTTGACAATAAAATCTCAACCGTCCACAGACAGTTCACAGAATACACACAGAGGTCCAATGAAATAGTGCTCTTGATTTATCGCACATTCATAATTCAATAATCTTTATAAATCCAATAGTGCCTGCAACTGTACACACTGTCAGTACCTTAAGATTTTTCTTTAAATTAGAAAATAAAAGTTACTATTTATTTTTTACCGTCTTTAGTACTACTACTAAAAAAAAGGCATTTTGTGTCAAAATATTTTATGTAGCCCACATCTGTGTGGATCTGTGGGGTGAGTACATGTCCGTCCTAAACCTAAATGTTATTGGTCAGTGTGAGAGGGTTCTATTATGACTTGGACAACCAAAAAAAATGACTTCCCAAGGGCAGAGGTCACTTTAGTGAAATTTATTATGCTTTTCTTCACATGAACAAAGATGGCAGGTGCAAAATATATACAAAGGCTGTCCAAGGCAGGTTAAAATCAGAAAAACAGCAGCACCTTCAATGTGACTTCTCAGGAGTCTAGCCACAGACCGACTCCCTGTGGCGCAGAGCCCTGCTTTTAAAGCCACAGGCTCCGCCCACAAAAAGACCAAACAAGCAAAAACAACTAAACAATTACTTCTAACTCAAATAATATTTTTATACAAAATAAATAAATAATAATAATAATAATAAGAAGAAGAAGACGATAAATAAATAAACTTGTAATGAAAAATACAATACTCAATTGAAAAGGACCTCGCTGCAGCAAACAAAGGGGAGGGGACGGACCGCTGTCAGTTTCATACCTTATTTGGAAATGGGACCATTGCAATCCGGAAGGGGGCGCTACTTCCTATACTTCCTCTTTTATTTTCTTTTGAAATCTGTGATGTATTTTCACCTTTAGGAAGGAGTTTCACTCTCAGAATGTATTTGAACTTCTCTCTTTTATTTACTTCAGCACAGCTCACAGTTTTTAGCTAATTCTGCAGCTTTCAGTGTACTTCTAAATCTGCTCCTTGGTCGCATCTTTTCGGACTTGTGACTGCCTCCAGCGGCGTGGGGGTGGTAACACAACTAATATAATTACATTACTAAATCAGAATACCACACAACTTCTTTATTATTTACTATTAATTCTGGCATTACTGGCACCGTAAAAGATAAATTATCTTATAAAACAACATATTTTTCATTTTCTTATGGATGTAGAGCTAATTAAATGACAATACTTTTATACATTACAAATAATATCTGTATAGCTCCATCAATTATGGGAGGAACAAAAGACATAAGGAGACATGAAAAACAACATGATCAGCTATAATAAAAATACCATTTGCAGTGTATACGTAAGAAATTTAATTGAGCAAAAGTCAATAACAAACAAATGAATTAGATACAGCAGAATAACAACTGAGGTTGTTACAAACAGGATTGTTAAACAGGTATAAGCAAAAATTCACATTTTTGTTTTTGCAGTGCCATGTATATTATTGAGAGACTTTTTGTTGGTAGAGTCTTATATATATAGAAAAAAATAAGATGAAACTATTTCATCTATGAACAAGGAAATTTTCCTTCGACTCTAAATCGATAAATCATATTCATGAATCACATTATTACACGGCCCATCTGTGGCGACGATACAAAAAAAAAAGTAGCCTACAGAAACTTTATGGCATATAACGATGGCATGAGGCTCCTACTCAAAGTTGGAGCAGTGCTAGCCATATGTTTGTACATAATGCTGTTCCCACATGTGCAGCTGTGCTCAGAAATCTTACGTATAAATGCATGTGTAGATTATATGTCATTAATATAATTGCAATTTTAGTAAATCCTGCTTTTAGTACTATGAGATTCTCTTCAAGATTATGGAATCATTGGCGTCATCATTTATTTGTGACTTGGTGAATAATATCATGTCATGTTTGTTTTTATTTTTATCTTTCAATGTCACATGCTGTTTTTATTTTAATTATGTAAAGCACTTTGAAATGCCTTGCTGCTGAAATGTGCTATACAAATAAAATTTGATTGATTGATTTCTTTGCTTGTTTTTACCTTTTTTCTATGGACCTTTTTTGTGTTTGAAATAAAGATATGATTGATTGATTATCAACAATTTGTGAATAGAGCAAAACGCTATAAGGTAAATGTTATCATTAGTTTGGTTAAGAATAATTATTGCACTGTCAATAAATAACTTCTAATAGATGTTTTTGTTGCCAGAGGAACACAGTAACACCTTCATGAGCTCAGAGGTTCAAACTGATAAATAATGAGGATGGATGCTCTCTGCTAAAATATTTCTTGCCATCTTTCATGTTATTTCAGAAA